TGTGTGTGTGTGTGTGTGTGTGTGTGTGTGTGTACGGGATGCTGTGGGATCGGCAGATGCAGCAGAGGCGGGGGATGCAGTGGAAGTGGAGGATGCAGAGCAAGCACGAGGGGGAGCAGGAGCAGGGGGGGGGCAGCAGAGCAGGGGAGGCAGCGGGAACGAGACAGAGCGGGGTCGGCAGTGGGAGTGGGAGCGGGGACGGCGGCGGGGACGGCAGCGGGGGCGGTAGCAGCGGGAGTGTGAACGGGAGCAGGAGCGGAAGCCAGAGAGGGAGGGGGAGCGGGAGCGGGGAGCCAGCAGGAGCAGCGGGAGCGGGGAGGCAGTGGGAGCGGGAGCAGGAGCAGGGGAGGTAGCCGGAGCGGGAGCAGGGTGTGTGTGTGTGTGTGTGGGTGTGGGTGTGGGTGTGGGTGTGTGTGTGTGTGTGTGTGTGTGTGTGTGTGTGTGCGCGCGTGTGTGTATGTGTCCGTACGTGTTTGTTTGTGTGTTCACGCGTGTTTCTTTTTTTATTTATTTTAGAATCAATCAATCAATCAAGAAATGAATCAGTCCATCAATCAATCAATCAATCATTCAACCAATCAATCAATAATCAATCGTCAATCAGTCTGATTCAGTCAATCATCAAAGTCCATTTTTTCAGTCCATTATTTGTTCTTTTCTTTGTTTTCTACAATCAATCAATCAATCAATCAATCAATCAATCCATCAATCAACCAGCCAACCAACCAACCAACCAACCAATAAATCAATCAATCATTCAACCGATCAATCATCGATCAAACATCAATCAATCAATCTTCTTTTTTCTTGCTCGCCCCAATCCCCCTTTTTTTTCCTTTTCTTTCTTTTGTCAATTTTGGGGGGGTTCCCCCTGACACCCGCACCCCCCCAAGGCATTCAGTTTCCTGAAAGCCACCCTCCCCCCCCCCGGAAGGCCCTGATTTCCGGTCCCATGGCCCGTAATGCGTGCACGGGGCCCGTACATACGAACGTCCAGTCCCCGTACATCGGGACTACCCTGAGTGCACCTCATTAGCAACTGATTTTCATGTTCAGTCGGACTGGATCCCCAAAAGACAAAATTTACCGGAAACAGTTTCAAAACGGCCTTTCTATTCAACATTTGCCTCCGCTGTTTTTCAAACTAAGAAACACAGTTCAGGAAAAGAAGAAAGAAAAAAAAGTGAAAAAAAAACTGAGAGGGCAGTTCATATTCAAGCTTCACTCACGGGCTACCCACCCTCATGCCTCGTCGCAGTACAAACAAAGAAGTTGAAAGAACCATGCATGGCAATACCGCGGGAAGTCGGTGGCTTGCATGCAATACCGTTGAAAGAAAGCGATTCACCGCCCGCGAGCACCTTCATAGATGCCGTGGGAAACAATAAGAGTCTTGTGCGGACGGGTGCAACTACGGAACGGCTTGGAATTGTGAGCACTGGAAAAGAAGAAGAAACAGGAAAGAAGCGCGCTGAAGACGACGACCCTTTCTTCATGGGGCACCCTCTGCGTGATTGAGACTTCTCCATCCAGTCTACTACCCCTCGAAAAACTACATTAATTGCCAACCTATAACAGCATGGAACACCGAATATCGGACATAATTCAAGCCATCCGTACGGAACCGGACATAACGGTAAGGTACATCCGTAAATATGCCAGAATATCGGACACAATTCAAACCAGAAACAGATTTTGCAGGCATATCCTGAAGGGGTACACCATGCAAATGTTCTTAATTGCTCTTTCAATCCGAGCTCTTCACTATTTTGCTGTTTTCCAAAATTGCAAATTTTGTAAAATGAAAAATTGTTATTCCATGTCCGTCGGGACATCCATTAAAATTGGAACGATACAGAGAAGATTAGCATGGCCCCTGCGCAAGGATGACACACATAAATCGAGAAACGGTCCCAAAAAAATAAAAAAAAAAATAAAAAAAATATTCCAAGCACACAGTTAAGTCACGAAAAGGAGCAAGTTCCAGGCAAACAATAGTGTAACAGTGACGAAAAGTCACGAAAAAGTTATTCCAAGCACGTCACAGTTATTCCGAGCTCTCGTCGTTTTTACCTCTCTTCCAAATTTTGTGAAATTGTTATTGCGTGCTCGGCTCGGTTATGTCCTTCCCACATTGGAACGACACACTAAAGATTAGCATGGCCTCTCTGGGCAAGAATGACATGCATACATTGAGAGAGGATCCAGCTTTCGGAGAAAAAAAGAAAGAAAAAAAAAAAACCGTCTCAGTTACGTCACAAAAATGACTAAGTTCCAGGAAAACCATCATTCAACAGCGGCAATCCGAGCTCGTCTTTCTTTGCTGTTTTCCAAAATTAACCATCGTTTATAACAGTGGCAATCTGAGCTCCTCTTTCTTTGTTGTTTTCCAAAAATTGTCACACTGTTACTGCAAGTGCAGCACAGTTAAGTCACAGAAAGTCACAAAAAGGACTACAGTTAAGTCACAAAAAAGTCACAAAAAGGACTAAGTTCCAGGCAAAGGGGCGTTAAATCGCGGCACACGTGACATGATCCACAGTCAAAGTAACATCATTACATCCCGTCCAGAGGACGACAAGACCTTCGTTGTGACTTGTAATAAACAAGTTTGCGACTGCGTAGCACACCGAATATGTTGGGTGCCCCACCGAGCATCCGAACATGTTCGGACGCTTGGCGGAGCGGGACCCGAACATGTTCGACCGAGCTCAAAAAAAAAGAAAAAAGAGAAAAGACCCCCAGTTTCCCCGGGTGTGTCTGTGCGTGCATGTGTGTGTCTATGTTCAGGAGTGATCGACCATGCCCCCCCGAGCCCCCCCAACCCCTACATAACCAAAATAAAAGAAAAAGAAAAAATAATAATAATAAACATGTTCGAGCTCGGTCGATTTTCGGCCACGTTCAGGCTCGGTACCGAGCGTTCGGGTTCGGTCACCGAGCCCGAACACGATGCTACGCAGGTTTGCAACTTGTTTTGTGGTATTTGTGGTCATCGTACAGCCAACGGAGTTATGGAGAGCGCATCCGGTAGTCACCTTTTGTGATAATTTATATGCGATTATCCAGATTCCGATGTTTCGCAGAAAACCTCCGAGATCATAGTAAACCCGAACGGTTTTTTTTGTAACTGTTAATCCTGTTCTGCGAAACGCTTCAAGAACCATGCCGTAAAGAGTCAAGTTGCACTCCATGCCGTACAAAATGAGCAAGAACCTGACCCTGCACGATCGCTTCAAGATGTGGCTGCGAGCCGCTGAGCCGTCCTGTTCGGCAGCGCTCCACTCGCTATATAGTACTAGATAGTATAAACCTGTCAAAACTAACCACACTACAAATTCTCCATTGGGTAGACATCTGGACATTCAATGGGGCCAGGAATAAAGTGTCCATAACAGGAGGAAATGCTGCATGTTTGCAGAAGCGTGATACACGACAAGGCAGGGACTACCGTCTTCCCCCGAACACAACGCATCCTCATTTTGACTGTATCAGACCAGAAACATACATACCTTGTGTACGTTACGTTCCTTATCACGGTGCGTTATGTTCGGGGGAAGACGGTAGTTACCTATGCTGTATCGGACCGCAAACATACCTTGTCTACGTTACGTTCATTTTCAGGGTGCGTTATGTTCGGGCGAAGACGGTAGTTATCTATGCATGTACTACTAGGCCAGCACGGCCGGGCAATGGCCCGGCTTGAGAGAGGGAACAGTTATTGAGTCATTTACCATTGTCCGAAATCCCAAGGTATTCATCAGGCAAGCAGACCTTCGCACCTCGCTCCCCTTCCTCGCAATCAACACATCCCCACTTGCCTCCCACCCCCAGATCCCCAAGCTGTTTCTCTTTTCACTTTGTATGTTCTCCTCTCCAGAGTTGCCACCATCTACATACCACTGACCTCTTGCAAATTGCCATGTCGCCAGGACTTGAACCCTCTACCTAATTCGCAATCCATCCACCGAATTCATTATCGCCAAACCATCTTCAGCATTCACTAACCGACGACAAACCATCAGCACCACTCACTCGTTAGTCTGCGAGTATTCGTTTTTGTTTTTGTTTTCTTTTCTGTGTGTGGGGGGCGGGGGGGGTATAACTCACAAGAAGTGCAAAAGACAGTGCACGACCCTCCTTCGTCGAGATGGGCAGTGGGCATTGGATGCTTAAATTGCTTCCCCTTGCTTATCAGTTGACTCCAGCCACATGAAGCATAATCGCTAACACTACACAATATCGCAGTCTGCACCAACAATCAGACAAACAAGTGAGCAACGTGGACCAACAATTTTTCGTAACCCCATCATGCTGATGATGGGAGTCGTACCGCCATCAATAGACGCATCATGGGATTATTGACATCGGGATGCCTGAACGACGTGCGACAGCAACGGCTGTTTACCGACCTTACAAAGGATGCAGCCAACTCGTGAAAGAATACCATACCGAAACTTCTACATTTCATTACTCAACTGGATGTCCGAACCCCAACCCTCTGATCAACCACACGAAAGAATCTCTCTCTCTCTCTCTCTCTCTCTCTCTCTCTCTCTCTCTCTCTCTCTCTCTCTTTCTACTAAAAGACATGCCCACAGTTATCCAAGCAAAGACGAATAGAAGCAAAGCATGCTAAAAGACATGCCCACAGTTATCAAAGCAAAGACGAATAGAAGCAAAGCATGTGGAGCCTCTCTCTCTCTCTCTCTGTAGAAAAACAAGCCCACAGGCATCCAAGGAAAGACAGGTAGACGGAAGCATGCGGAGCATCTGCAAACCTTTCGTCCGCACTCTACGTGTTTTTCGGACGTGACCAAAACCAATATAATATAATAAAACATAATATTAATGTATATGGAGTTCTTTTCCACCAATCATTCTCCAAGAGTCCAAGTCCATCTGCTTTTCTGCTGGACCTGAGAACTTCCTGCTGCAGTGTCCGGCAGATCTCCTTCCTTTCCGTGTACTGTACCGGATTTTAATACCAAATTCAGCATCACCTTGATTGACTGCGCAGCTGACTCAAACAAATGCTACAAATCCCAGCTAAGTTCCAGTTAAACTGCACGACATCGACTTATCACAGAATCCCATTTAACACCCTCTGATAGTAGTCGTACTGCCTTGTTCTCCATGCATCCAGGCTACTGTGGATGAGCGACAAGACTAATGACACACATTGCTGTTTCACAGACAAAAAAAAAAAAAAAAAAAAAAAAAGCAGTCAGAACAGTGAAAACGCCAGTAACCACCATTGGCCGGCAACATTACCGTGTCATATGGGTTTTCATAACGCAGCACCGAACAGAGCCTCACAGACATCATCAGCCGGAAGCAAGTAGAAACAAACAGCCGAACAAACAGCAACAAACAGAAACAAACAGCCGAACAAACAGAAACAAACAGCCGAACAAACAGAAACAAACAGAAACAAACAGAAACAAACAGAAACAAACAGAGACAAACAGAAAGAAACAGAAAGAAGCAGAAACAGACGGAAAGGGACGGAAAGGGACGGAAAGGGACGGAAAGGGGCGGAAAGGGACGGAAAGGGACGGAAACAAACAGAAACAACAGAAACAGACAGCGAACAAGAGTCGTCAGTATCAGGGCACACATATTCAATAAGGTAAATTTCTGAGGGCCTACTCACGCTAGCACTTTCCCAAATGTATCTGATGGCAACGAAGGCCAGAAACAGACAGCAAGCAAGACTTATCAGTACCAGGAGACACGTATTCAAGAGGGTAGGTTTCCGAGGGCGAATTCACACTAGCACTTTCCCAGATGTATCTGATCGCAACGATGGGCAGAAACAGACAGCAAGCAAAACTCATCAGTACCACCAAACATGTATTCAAGAAGGTAGGTTTCCGAGGGCGTATTCACACTAGCACTTTCACAAATGTATCTGACTGATTGCAATTACGGCCGGACCTGGATGAACCTAACAGCAGTCAGGTCCACAGCTTAGTAGAAAAGACGCGATTACGCCCTGAAACGATCAGCTCAAACGATATAGGCCTCGCCAACACATCAAAAGAAGGTAGGTTTCCGAGGGCGTATTCACCCTAGCACTTTCACAAATGTATCTGACTGATTGCAATTACGGCCGGACCTGGATGAACCTAACCGCAGTCAGGTCCACAGCTTAGTAGAAAAGAAGTCCTCGTGCAATTACGCCCTGAAACGATCAGCTCAAACAATTTAGGCCTCGCCAACACATCAGAAGACAAAGAGAAAAACACCACCCTCGCCACACCCTTCCGACTGAGGCCCCACTCACACAAGGACTTTGATACTTGTTTCTAGATCTAATTGCGGTCAAATACATCCATGCAGGGCCGTAATTACCGTCAGATTCACTTCAGATTGTGCTAACGTTAGTATGCTCTGAGGTTCAAAGTTCAAACGCATATCTGGACAAAAGGAGAAAAAATCGAGAATATCCCCCAATGGATAAAAACTTATTAAAAAATATCAAAATGCCTAAAACCAAGGCTGGGCAGGGAATCGGTCAGTTCAGCTTGCCTGCTCCAACCGGGGCGGGACCGGCCCAGGGGGATGAACCGCGAAACCGATTTTTCAAAAACAAAGCCCCATTTTTATTTTATTTTATTTTTTGGGCGGATTCCAACTGCACACTTTGCGATCAGTCAAAATCCGCGATAAATTTTTAAAGGTGCGATTCTTTTTCGGGTGGGGGGGGAGGGGCGGGGTCCCAGGGGGAGGGGAGTATTATTGGGATCTTCCCGGAGGTATGGCATTCAGGTGGAGGGGTCAAGTAAGCAAGCTTACTTATCTGACCCCCTCGTGGCCCAAAATTTCAGTTTAGCACCATACGGTACTACGCCGTCGGATACTGACACGACACCCAAGAGGCTGAACGAAATCTCTGTTGATAAGAGGTCCTTGCCAAAACTTATAGCTCTTCCAGAGTGTCGGATGACAGCAAAAGAAGTTATGGGTTCATGTTTGAGGTTGAGTAGGCAGAGCGTTTTCTGTTTGTTTTTTTCTATATACGGGTGGGTCGTTAGTCCGAAAGTGTCTTGCATGGCAGTCTGTCAAGACACATGTAGTGGAGCGAGGTCCATTCATGGGCTTGCACCTCGGACAGCATTGCTACTCTGACTTCATGAGCCGAAACCCGATCCCATAACCTTTTTCCCCAGAGCAGAGGGACATCGTAGAAGCATATAATCTAAGCAAAGTCACTTGAACAGCATACTGTTTTCATCCTCCTGGGTCAGGGTGGACGAGTATCAAGACCTGTCAATTACATCTGCTCCGTGGTCCGTTGCCAAAATCGAAAATTGGGAGACGCCGCATCTTGAAAAAACGAGCCGCAGTACTCCGCCGCTGATCTGCGAAGACAAGCAGCAGAGATCCTCCACCCGTTCTTTTCAAGAAGTGGGGTCCCAAAGGCCGCAATTTTTCTTTTTTTCAAGGAGCCAGCGGCCTCCCGGGGGCTGGGCAATCGCGGGGATGCCAGCGACTCCCCGGTACCCCTCCCCCAGCGTGATGTGCTGGGTCCGACCGGGGGTCTGCCGGGCAGGTCAACCGCCCGGCCCAACCGGCAGGCTCCCCGTCGGGGGATGGGCCCCCAGTCCAACCGGGGACCAGCACTCCCTACTACACAATTTACATTTTCCACTGTATCGTAAACCCTGTCAATTTGAACAACATGGTTTTTCAGATAGCATAACTACTTTTAGGCTTTAGCTGAGGGTCACATTAGAATTCCTCACAGAATCGGAGATAAAAAAGAGAATAACAGAATCACACTAAGGCACCCCACTTTAAAGTTTAAACCAAGGCTGCAAACCCGGTAGGACCGGGGGGCCCTCCCCCAACCGGAACCGGACCGGTCCTACCGGCCGGTTCCCCCCCCGGTTGGCCGTAGCGCATCAATTTTTTATTTTTTATTTTTTTTATTATTATTTTTTTTAATTTTATTTTTTAGTTCTTAATGCCCGGGGTGTTGTAGAGGCCAAGGACTAGCCCCCCGGTGATCGCTGGCAGCGGCAGCCAGTGGTTGTGCTGACAGGATACGCCACCTTCCCTACCCTTCCCTACGTTAACGCTCCCAGCGCACCCCCTATCCCTACTATCCTACCTCAGTGTGACCAGCACTCAGAAGTCAGGACCACCATCACCCTACCAGTATGGAGGGCAACTTGGACCAGACGGCAGTGACAAGCACCCCGTAACTATCACCCACACCCCCCTTTTCAAAGTTTTTGGGTGGGAAGTACCGTCCCTACCCTGCCACTAACACCTCCAGTCCCCTTTTCAAAGTTTTTGGGCGGAAGGTTAACGTTTGCAGAAAGCCAGGTACGTTGTTGTCAATGTCTGCTGAAGCCTGTGGTTGCTGAAACCCCTCCACCAACACCCTCACCATGAACCCCCCAATCCCCGATCCCCAACCCCTGAAATACAACTCCYCCCCCCCCCCCCYCCSCCCCCAACCCCCCAAACGAAACTTTAGTTCAAAGTTTTCTTTGCGGATTTGGGGAGATCTCGGTGTGCGCAGTCCAACCATACTTAAAAAAAAAAACATAAAAAAAAAAAAAGAAAATTGACCCACTTTTGGGCCCAATCGGAATTCCGGTTGGACCAACAGGGGTCCAACTGACCCGGTTGGATCCGGCCCGGTCTAGCCGGCACAGCCATGGTTTAAACCCCTTTAGCCCCTTTAAAACCATTTTATGCCCCCCTCCCACCCCCCCTTGACAGCCAACTCACAAAAAAAGAGACGATCCCGGATTTGGGGTCCTTTGGGAGAGCACAGAAAACCGAAAAAAAAATACTTTTTTTTTTGCACGCCCGGGTACCCAGAGCGTCAGACCCCCCCAGGCGTCACACCCGGGTGCGGCCGGGCAAGGCCGGCTGGGTGTGAGAATCCTCCTAGGTTTACACACACGTGAAATGAGCCAAGTACTCGTCAAGTTCTACCTACCATACATCAATGAACATTCACATGAGAGTTCACACGTGAGAAGCCAAATCAAGATACAATCAACACTTGAAGATGTCATCTCCAATGTTATTATCAATATACAAGGATGTTTGTCTCCGGTGGCGAGGGGGCACACACACGCATAACAGATCTCAACCAGATAGGGGCTATAGCTTCTCCCTTTCTTCTCTCTCTCTGACTTGACTCGCTGTGCCTCACTCTCTCTCTACCCTGGACCGTTACCCACGATACACCCACTCAGGTAGCTTACACCTTGGCGGCTATGGCCGCCGTCCTCCTGCTCTACAGCTAGCCTAGCTATGGAGTCTCTCTCAAGCGCTCTCTTCTTCTTCGGGCACACAGTGCCCAAGTTGCCTTAACGCACAAGCAGCAGCAGCGCTTCCGCATCTCGCAACTGAACATGTGACGAGCAGCTGCACTGTAGCAGCTAAATATAGGACTTCGCTTTGCTGGGTTTGGCTTGGCTTCCCCTGTTTCAGACCTGTACCGGTCGGGGGCCGCCTGTTTTCTGCAAACATTTTGTCGGTCCGGAAGCTTCCGGACTTTCCTGGGACATGCTACAATTGGACTTGGGACTGTCGGACTGGACTGGATGATTCTGGACTTTTCTTGTCAGGTACCTACCAATCTGCAACGCTTCAGTACCGGCACCTACCGACCTACGACGCTTCGGCCTCTAGACCCTACGGCCTACCCTACGGGACGGCCCTGGGACTTGGGATTTGTCCGGACCTTGGGACCCGGACTGGGTGTCTGCAGAGTGAATCCTTTCACTCCCGCCGGCCTAATTTTGAGGTCCTCCGAGACAATCTCAACTTTATCTATCATACACATTCATTCCTCTCCAGGCCCTCTCATAGAAGGAGACAATGTGAGGGGCCGTCCGTATTAGTTCTTCCCTGGGGAACCAGCAGTCTTTGCTGGGCTCCTGGTAGGCAAACCTGACCTTATGTTGCCGCTGTGGCCTTCCTCTGCAACCTGTGCAGAAAGTGAAACGGTTTTCACCTTTTAGCAGTAGCGGATGCAGTACCCAGGGTTCGATCCCTAGACCTCACCCTACCCATGTACAGTATCTGTGTAGACCCCGGGAATTGAACCTGTGACCTGTGTATTCGTAGGCAGTTGGTAGGCCTGTCGTAGGTCCATAGGCAGCAGGGGTTCGATCTGTAAGTCTATAGCGTAGGAGTCTTAAGTGAGTTCTGGAAGCTTAGCTGTAGAGTGGCCAAGTGGTGAGGCAAGTGGTGGACTAAACCGCAGTGCAACAGCAGTACAACGCCAGTAGGATTGCGGTGAGTCCACAGTCAGTCAGCGGAAGGTC